AATGGCAATGGAGCCAATAACTGTGGTGGTGAATGGACTGGTTTCTCAGAATTCCTCTCTGGACAAGGAGAGGACTTGGACAACAGTCTCCCGCAGATTTAGTGCTCTGGAAGCTGAGGGATCCCCATCTTTGCCCAAGCTGCAATACAGTGCCCTTCAAAAGGATACTGGGTTAAAATACTTCCTTTCTTGGCCCTGTTGGAACTTACTTATTAACTGCTGTTTGTATATTAAGAAACTTCAGGACAACAAATTTCAGCTGAGTCCCCTTTAATCGTTGTTAAAGAAGTTTTATGCAAGTTTAAGAACTTAAACTATTTTGGAATAAACAAAAAAAGGATGATTAGAACTTAAACTATTTTGGAATAAACAAAAAAAGGATGATTAGAATTTTGGAAAGTTATAAATGAACTAAGGTGCAAGATGGATTTAAAATAAGATTTTGAAACTAGTTACAAGAAACCTTCCTGTGGGAAAATATTGTTGTTTGAAATTTTATTTTTAAAAAATATAAAGCTTTTCCCATGGGAAAACACTGATGACAAAAAAAAAAACACAGGAGATTTACGATCAAAACTATAAAAGCAAAGAAATATAAAGTCAGTTTATCTGATGAAGGTTAAAACATATATGCTATTATTTCTGGTAACTCTTATGGATTTTTGCCAATCAGGACCAAATGATGAAACTTTAAAGATTTATTTATAGACAAGAGACAAATCAAAGGAAGAAGAGATCTTTTGTTTTATTTTTAGACAAAGTAATATTTACTACATTAAAAGTAATATTATAGTTGGTTTATCTTATTAAGGTTAAACTATATATGTTGTTATTCTGGTAACTCTTAATGGACTTTTGCTGATTAGGATTAAATAATGAAGTTTTAAGAATTGGGTTATAGATAAAGATGATATATGCAAAGAGAGCTTTTGCTGTAGTATGAAAGAAGGTGATAAATTACTGAAATTATACTAGTCATGATGAAGGGGGAAGACCTCTCTTTATATATTTTTTATTTCTCTTACTATATATAGTACACTTCATTCATTTTTTTTCTTTTCTTTTTTATTAGTTTCTATTAGTTTTTTTATCTTTGTTAACGGTACATTTTAATAAAATTATTTTAAAAATCTTCCAAATAGTACGAGTGTCTACAGAAACATTAGAATCTTAAGTATACAAGACTTTGATTAATTGAATAACTTGATTACTTTTGCACAAAAACATTACTTTTGATAAATATGTCATTTAAGTGAGATGGGCAGCATATAATAAAATAAATGAATAAATATCAATGACATCAGCATATAACAACAGCCTGCATTCATCTATTCCTACTGCTATGCCCCACCTGTTTTCCATTTATATTAAAGCAGGCCAATGGTATCAATATCAAATTAAAAAACATAAAAGGACTCCTTGATGATTCCACAAGACATGTTGATAGGTAAAAATATTGTTCCACATAATAATCTAGCACAAGGAGTTAATACTATTACCTTGGCCCAATTAATTTTAAAAAAGAGAGAATCAATATAAAGACAAGACATATTTCCAAAATTTCCACTTTACCTACAGAAAATGACCTTGAAAGAAAACTACATGGCAACAATTAGAGAAACATGTATTAAGCTCAGGAAATGAAGTCATTTAGAGAGTCAAGTTGACTACCCCTTAAGTCCTGGATTTAAGAGGGAGGAAAGGGGAAACATAGATTAGCTTTCAAGATTCTATTACTGTATCCTATATATTAATACAGTTCCAGAATCTTTTATGAAGAGCCTTTTACTGACCTATATCAAAGCGCTCACATCACCATATAAAAGGCGTCTTCTGCATTAAAAAAACCACCAATGTGCATTTCAATTTTTCTGAATGTATATCCAGAATATTAATTAGTAATTTAATATTATCTGATGCTTGGCCACTTTTCTAAAAACAGATTGTGCAGAATAGATAATCAAATATATCCCCTTTCATCTATACAATAAAATCAATTTCAATATTTTTTGCGCTAATATTTGCATGCTATTTGGCCAATAACTTGCAATCAGCCCATGAAATCTCAATGATGTATCTCATTAAACATTGTCTATATCTCAGCCCAAACCTTTCCATTGCCTATGAAATTTGTCCAGAGGTTCTGATTAATATGCAGAAGCCCAATATTTCATATGAAATATATGCAGATCATTTGTTTTACTCTACTGTAATGCTATGGCCTAACAACTGTGGTCAAAGGACTATATCAGGACAATGAGATAAGATTTCTAATAAATCTAAATAATGGATATGTGCAGTGTTCGGTCAAAGACAATATGAACTTGAGAACAGCAGCAGTCAGAGCAGTATTCATGGTGTTAGTTTCACAACTCAGTTCTCTGTCAAAATAATAGTAATAAATATATGTTAAAAATTAATCATCTTTTCCTACTTCCATATATTTATTCATAAAAACATTCAGATTTAAAAATAATTTTATCTTATATGGTTGATTGTTGCAGAATTAGTTAGGTATAGAAATTATTGGAAAGTGATCAAATTCACAGAGTAATAAGGACATTTATCTGAATTAGGTATGAACTAGTTAGTTACAAATTATAGCATTAACGTAATGCCTTAAAACTCTGATCTTTAAATTAAAATTGTACAACTTTGGTTGGCCTGAAGCCTGCTTATTTGTTTATTTAATGCAGTTTAATTTGTATAACTGTCCATCTCAACGATGTGACCCTGTATAGCTAATAATAACTAAAAATAACAACACACATATTGCTGGCAGCCGAGATAAACAATAAATAGCCCTCATAGGCACTGACTTTCTGAGCCCAATGCCCAGGAATACAACCATGTTTTCAAAATCTTATGAAAGGCCAACAGGGTGGAGACTAATCTAACCTCAGATGGGTGGATGATGTTCTATATTCTTCATACACTTTGTCAAATGTTATACTCTAGTAGAAAGTAGGATCAAGTGCTCCTGTTCTGGAGGCTGTGGGAGTAAGTCTGACTACAACTCAATGGTTTCTCAACAGCCCTGCTCTACTGAAGATTCTTGACAGTAGGGAAAGGGTTTTATTGTATGTGCCTTTGAGTCAGTGTTCACTCCTGACAACTGCGGTTTTCTTGGCCAGATTTCAAAAGTGGTTTGCCATTGACTACTTCCTAGGGCTGAGAGTAAGTGGCTGCCCAAACGTCAGCCAGCTGGCTTTATGCCTAAGGCAAGACAAACTCATGGTCTCCTGACTTCTAATCTGGGTGCCTTAACCCAGTGCTTTCCTAACTTTTCCTTCATTACCCAAAGTCATGTATCAAAAAATCTTTTTTTTACCACTTATCAGAAAATCCTTATTTAAATGTTCTGTTGTGACTGGGTAACATGTTTGTGTGTCATTATCTTCCCCCCAAAGCCCACTTTTATCCAATTTCTTGATGAACTGCTTTTGGTGGAGGCTCTGGAGGCACGGGAGAAAAAACTTTCAATTGATAGCCAACCAATACTGAAGCCATATCTGCATTAGCCTTGGTGAATTGCTACTATATTCTGGTTGCCCAATGCCTAATCTTAAACCTCTAAAATATGTCTCTTGTGCACAATTTGGTATTTTTGGTATGGTTCTGCACTGGTTTGCTATTGATTTTTGGACTGTCTACAGATGCTACCTCTGCCCTTTAGCCTGACTTGCTGTTGCCTCTATAATACAACTCATGAACTGTTGCTTGGCTATGCTGGGTATTTGCTGGCATCAAGCCCTCAAACGAGGACATTCCCAAACTAAGGCCAGAAGGAAAGGAATAAGAGCATAGAATGTGCAATCCCAAGGCAAAAATAAAACAAAATTTCAATTGTTTGATGCCAAAAACATTTTTAGTAATAAATCCAGAACATATGCTGGAAAAGTTACAAAAAAATCTACAATTATAGGTAGCATCCAATTATATTTGTGGTTAGGGCAATGATAGACAACTAACTAGCTTCATGTAGCCCCTGCAATAATCTTCTGATACTCCATTATTCTCATTGTACTACTAAGCTTCACAGTAAGTATCACTATATAATGCTTTTCCTTACCACCACCAGCACCATCATTATCATAATTTCTCATCATTTTTCCACCTACATACAATGTGCTTCCAATGAACAATTAATCTAGAAAAGAATTTTTTTAAAAAAAATATGTTCATCCCTGACTTAATTTGTTTTAGCTTTCCAATTATACATTTTTCCTAAAAGTGCTATAAGATCTGGTTCTTAAGAAAAGTAGCAAACATTCCTCATGTGGCAGGTAACACAGCATTTCAAAATAACAATGTACTTTGGAATAATTTTCAGAATTATTTTTTTTAAAAAAACTCTTTTCATAACAAGTATTTAAAAAACATGTTTTATCTCATTCACCTTTTTTTTTTTACTCTTGCCTAAAACATACATCAACGTTTCTTTTTCCTCATACAAGGTAGTCAAAAGCAGAGATAGAAAGAAAGAAAATATATAAGTGAGTCCAAGGCCATATTCCATCAACTGTTATTCCAAAACCACCCAATCTCAAATGTGTGCTAGTGTATTTTCTGAAGAGGGAACAACACAAAGAATCTCAGGTCAGACTTACAGTATATGTAAATCCTAGTACATTTCAGTGGCAAGAGTTGTCTACCTATTTATACAAATATATGGTATGACTAATAAATATCATTAAACAGTGAGCTGTAAAGAAACTTATGAACTGTATCAATGCTCACATCTCCTTACAAACATTTAGTTCCTTCTAACGATTAATCTGATTCTTTTTATTTCAGCCTGATGATCTTGTCCTGCTTTCAATTTCAGTGGAGAACAAAACCACTGACTCTTGCATATGGCCATTTTTAGATATAAACCAATACCATACCTCCTTAGTCTTCTCTTATGCAACTTAAACATGCCCAGCTCCTTTAAATGTTCCTCGTAGAGCTTGATGTCCAGATATAGTAGTGCCTTAGTACTTGTCATTAGTTGGTTCCAGGAGGCGCAACAAGTACCAAAAATGACGAGTACCAAATTTTTCTCATAAGGAATAATGTATTAGTCATGAAGCAACTGACACTGACAAGTTCTGGCTTGCACATTGAGTACCAAACAAACAAGTACTGGGACAAAATGTTCGCATCAAAATGCATCGAGTACCAAATTCGACGAGTTTCAAAGCAGTCGACTACCGAGGTACCACGGTATTTTTTATCCTGATAGATGTTCTCTGAACCTACTCCAGCTTATCTGTGTCCTTTAAAAGCACAGAGTGCAAAACTGGATGGAGCACCACCCCAAGTGCAGTGTAGCCAGCACAGAACACAGTGGAACTGTTAATACTACTTGTCATAAAAAAACAATGATTCTGTTAAAGTGTTAATGCAGTTCAAGAGTACATTGATCTTTATAGTCACTGCATCATATTTGCTCATGCTCAGATGGTACTTCATTAGTACTTCTAGATTCTTCACACACACATTTTTTCCTATACAGATGCAGGCCTTTATACAGCTCATAAATGATCATTATTCTACTGGATGTATCCCAAAATTCAAGCTGGCTAAGTCATTCTGAATACAGATATTGTCTTCCAAGGTACTTGCCCATCCCTAACTTAACATCAATGGCAAGCCTGATAACCATCCATTTTATTTCATTCTCTAACTTATTTATACAGACGCTAAACAATATTGGGCTGAGCACTTAAAATTTATCTCTTGGACAATGCAAGTGCCTTTGAAGTGCAACTATTTTACTAACTGCAAGCCCAGCAGATTATAGTACTGTGCAGTCACATTTTCTCATCTTCCCCACAGACCTTGTTAAACACTTTACTGAGTTCAAGGTACTTATTATCCACAGTCCCTTGAATGCTTGGTCTACCAAGCCAGTCCCAATGCCATTAAAAGAGATAAAGTTAGCTTCATACAATTTGTTCTTGTCAAACTCACACTGCTTTGGTAATAGCAGTATTCTTTTCTAAGTGTCTGTGTCATGTTGCTTGACAGTCTATTTTTGTATCTTGCCCAACAGAGATATTAAACCAAGTAGACAGTAGATTCCCAGGTATTTTGTCTTCATTTTTTAAATAGTGGGACTAAGTTTGCTCTTCATCCATTTGTACTCTAGGTAGAAGCACTGATATGCCGCACTGATTCAGTGAAGTAGGCGGAAAGAAACGGCCTGACATAATTTCCAAGCGGAGTTTCAAAGTTTAGTATTATCCTTGGAAAAATTATTTCAGCTCTGAGTTGTAAAAACTAACTGAAAGGCTTCACTAAAGTCTGTTTTGTTCTCAGCAGCAAACATTTATGTAAATCAGTTTATTGTTGCTCACCCCCCCCCAATAATTCATTATTTAACTTTAAAGAACTTCTACCCACACAAGGATTTATTACTTCCAAGATTCAATAGTAGCAACAAGTAAATATAGGTAATCCTCGACTTACAACAGTTCATTTAGCGACCGTTTGAAGTTACAACATCTCTGAAAAAAGCAGCTTATGACTGTTTTTCACACCTATGACCTTTGCAGCACCCCCATGATCACGTGATCAAAATTCAGCCACTTGGCAACTGACTCATTTTTATGACGGTTGCAGTGTCCCAGGGTCATGCGATCTCCTTTTGCAACCTTCTGACAAGCAAAGTCAACGGGGAAGTCAGATTCACTGAACAACCATGTTGCTAATTCAGCAACCGCAATGATTCACTGAACAACTGTGGCAGGAAAGGTCACAAAATGGGGCGAAACTCTCTTAACAAATGTCTCGCTTAACAACAGAAACGTTGGGCTCAATTATGGTCGTAAGTTGAGGACTACCTGTGTTGCCATTCTGAGCACATCTGTTGTGGGGAGGTGGACTGGTACCAGCAAATGGAGCTCTGTCTGGACAAACCATGAGCTTAGTTCCATTCTGATCTCAAAACAATTTCCTGGGCTCGGAGTTCTTTAACTGTACAGGTAAGTTGCACCAAAGCCTGGATGACAGGAGTTTATTTATTTATTTATTATTTAAATTTATATACCGCCCTATCTCCCTTACGGGACTCAGGGCGGTGAACAGGCAATAATAAAAATCACAGTAAATATTACATAAAAGCCTGCTCTAAAATATAAAACCCCTAACAAAACCCAATCAAAACTACGCCAGGCCGGCCGCATGGAACAGATGAGTTTTCAGGGCTCGGCGGNTGGTAGGAGGCGGTCTTGCAAATACCTAGGTCCATTGCCATGGAGCGCTTTAAAAGTTGTTACTAACACCTTGAAGCGCACCCGGAAGGCCACCAGCAGCCAGTGCAGCTCGCGCAGGAGAGGTGTTACATGGGAGCATCTAGAGGCCCCCAAAATCCCCCGCGCAGCCGCATTCTGAACTAGCTGGAGCCTCCAGGTGGGAGTTCAGCAAAAAATGAAGTCTGCTCTCCCCTAATTTATACTTTCTTATACCACAGGAGGGTACATTTCTCCTAAATTAACCCCAATATGGATGTTCAAGTTTGCTCTGTTGTAGGACTAAGTCTATATGGTATACTATAGTATTATGTACTCTCAAACCTTTAAATAATATTAAACACAAGACAAATAAAAACATTATCTTTCATGAAATTTTATAATTCATTTCATTTCCCCCTTTTAGCATAAACTTACTGTTCAATAAACAATTGGTAAGTGAGAACAAAACAAAATCTAGAAAATGGGTGAATGGCATGAAGTGGAACGTTATTGCTCGAAATCCTTCAGCCGGGGGCTGCTCCATCTGCTTCAGCCCCAGTCCTACTGGCATCAATAAGCTCAGTAGTTTTGCATCAATATTCCTAGCAGTCTTAGTGCCAATAGCTGTACTTGAGACAAACCTCTGGAGTTCCAGGGATTTATTTTAAAAAAATACTTCCATTTTTTAACTAGAACTACATCAATAAAAAAGCCATTTTTTAATATGAACTGAAAGTCTAATGGCATTCCCCTAGGAATGCACCATGGCCACTCTCAGAAAACAAAACAGCAATCAAAAATTCAAATCGCTGCCAAGACTGGAGTTTCTAAATTGCATGCACATTATATTAATGGGTCAGCATAGCATCACTTACAGTTTTACTAAGAGAAAAAAAAAAGCAGAGTAATTCCCATCCTTGTCCCTTCCCCCCACTTTACGAGTAGATGGTTTGTAAATGTATTTTTATGGAATAAAACTTGATAGTCCACTTTTTGGTACCGCTTCACAAGAGGAAATAATTATGCTTCACACAGGGATCTAAATCAGATTGCTATTGGCTATGGGAATCAGACACTACGTCTTGTGGGGAAACTGCCATTTCTAATCTATGGCTATAACTGTAACTGCCAGCTCTGTAGCCCAAAGTGGAAACTCCTAACATTCCTAACAATTCCCATGAAAGCCAACAGTCAGTCACTCTTCCTATCATCGGCTATGACTGCATGGGGCTCTCAATGGAAGACTTGGGCTCCCTGGAATCTTTTTGCAGGCATACAGCAGGAATAATTCCATGTTTTATTGTTGTCACGTTGGGGAGACGTTGCCAAGGCACAACACCAATCTTCAAAGTCCTTCTCAAAGCGAACAATAGGAACAAGTTCAAAAATAGCCTTCCAAGTTGGGACCAATATTTTATTTAGTCCAGCATCATCCAAATGCCAGTAGAAATCCATAAGATGGATATGAAAATGAGGATCATACCATTGTTAAGTGAAGACCTCACATTTCTCCTGCTTTGCACAAACTGCTGGTCCCATCCCATTGTCTCCTTTCCTGACAGGCCCACAAAGTGCCTTTCAGCAGATGAGATTGTCACGACCTACTGCATTTGCCTCCACTTCAGCTCCTCTGACCCGCCTCTATCTCCCCCTGCACACTTGCCAAGAGAGCTGCTGGCTCTTTGTGAGACATTACGAGAGGTTGCGAAGGGCCAGCAGCTGCCTCAACCACACACTCTTGGTCAGAAGTGAGAGAAACAAAACAGCAAATGTTGGCAGGGGATGGCAGGAACCCGGCAATGGTGGCAGAGTGCAGAGCAGTAAAAGAGTGGAGATAGGGGGAAAATAGGTGAGTGAGGGAAACTTGAAGCATACTCTGTGGTCCTAGATGCGGACAGGATGCCTAAAACA